GGGGTGGGGGGGGGCACTTCGCTGCTCCCCGAAGATCCCGCGATCGTCCGATCTCATTGGATTATAAAATACTTCCGACAATTCCCGACCGGTCATGAGTGTCGGAGCTGTCAGGGGTCCTCTCCGCTACTTCTGGATCCACACTATCAGCATGAAACAATAATAATAATAGTTCGATCACTTAGTATATTATATATGTAATACATTGCTGCGTGCAGAGTCCTCAAACTGATCATCAGGGGCAGACCCGAGGCTGTCATTGTACATTTGTGCAGTTTGATTGCTCTGCTTCTTCTGGATCCACAATATCACAAGACAATAATATTGATCGGGCAGTTTTATTCGTCCATTATATATTTAGTATATTGCTGCGTGCAGAGTCCTGATAAAGGTGAGGGTCCGGGGACAGACCTCTAAACTCATTCTAAGTTGTGCAGTTTGATTGCGCCGCTTCTTCTGGATCAACACTATTGGGGTTCGATAACGGGACAATATCGATCAGACATTTCATGGATCTGAAGATATTGCTGCGTGCAGATTCCACATGCAGGGGGTATAAAGGTGAATGTGATCATCGTGGTCCAATGACAGACCCGAGGCTGTCATTGTAAATTGTGCAGTTTGATTGCACTACTTCTTCTGGATCCACAATATCCGAAGACAATAATATTGATCGGTCCGTTTTATCAGTTAGTTTATTATATATTTATTATGTTGCAGAGTCCTCATAAAGGTGAAAGTGATGGTCAGGGACTGACCTCTAAAATCATTCTAAATTGTGCAGTTTGATTGCTCTGCTTCTTCTGGATGAACACTATTAGGATTAGATAATAGGATAATATTGATCAGATATTTGTCAATCATTGATTGATTTGTTGCTGCGTGCAGATTTCACATACAGGGGGTATAAAGGTGAAAGTGATCATCATGGTCCAGGGACAGACTTGAGGCTGTCATTGTAAATTGTGCAGTTTGATTGCACTGCTTTTTCTGGATCCACAATATGAGGAGAGTATTTGGATTCGATTAGAGGAACAATATTGATGAGACATTTCATTAGATCTTCAGTGTGTTGCTTCGTGCAGAGTCCACATGCAGGGGGTATAAAGGTAAAAGTGATCATTAGACGCCAGGGGCAGATTCTTTGTACCTGAGACTGTCCTTTGGAAATTGTGCGGTTTGATTGCACTGTTTTTTCCGGATCAACACTATTGGGATTAGAACAGAATAATATTGATCAGGCATTGTATTTATCTTTTACTATAATGCAGGTTCCACATAAAGGGGGTTTAATGGTGAAAGTGATCCATCGGGGTCCGGGGACAGACCCCTGAAATCAGGAGCTGTCATTTTAAATTGTGCGGTTTTATTGCACTGCTTCTTCTGGATCAACAATATCATAACAATATTGGGTTTAGAACAGAATAATGATCAGGGGTTTCATTTATCTTTACTGTATTGCTGCGTGCACGTACAGAGCTTGGATGGCGACAGTGATCATCAGGGACAGACCCGAGGTTGCCGTTGGAAATTGTGCAGTTTGATTGCTCTGCTTCTTCTGGATCAGCAGTATTGGGGCTTACAGTGGATTCAACCTGAGCAGCTATTTCTTTTTCCCCAGTTTTAGTATATTGCTGGATGCAGCTTTTCACGTAAGTAGGTTTTATGGTGAAAAGGGACCATAGTGTGGGGACAGAAGTCTAAATCCTGAGCCTGTCCTTGTAAAATTGTGCAGCAGTTTGATTCGACTGCTTCTTCTGGATCCAGACTGCATGGAGGATCCACGTACGGAGCTTCTATGGAGAGTGTGATCATCAGGGTGCAGGGACAGATCTCTAAAACCCGAGACTGTCCTTGTAATCTGTGCAGTTTGAGTTCACAGCTTCTGCTGGATGAACAGTGGTCGGAATGGTGAGTGTGATCATCAGGGTGCAGGGTCAGATCTCTAAACCTGAGCCTGTCACTGGAAATTGTACAGCAGTTTGATTCAACTGCTAATTCTGGATCCACAATATCAGCATTGGGATTAGAACAGTTGTATTTGCCAGGGTTAATGTGTGTGACTGCATGGAGGTTCCACGTACGGAGCTTCTATGCTGATCATCACAGTCCACGGACAGACCTCTAAACCTGAGGATGTCCTTTAGAAGTGGAACGGTTTGATTTCAGTTTCTTCTGGATCAACAGTATTAGAACAGATTAAACCCGATTTGAACTTCGTTTCCCATCTTTAGAATAGTGCTACATGCAGATTCCACGTACGGAGCTTCTATAGTGATCATCAGAGTCCAGGGGCAGACCTCTGAAAGCTGAGGCTGTCCTCGGAAATTCCCCGGCTCGGTCTCCAGGCTTTTTCTGGATCAGCGCTATCGGAATATCCTAATATTGGAATGGATTCAACCCGATCAGCTCGTATATTTGATTATATTCAAACAGAGATGCAGCTTTCCCTATAGGAGGGTGTATGATGAAGATGAACATCCATAACCCTTAACTGCTATTTGCTGCTGCCGGCGAAGTGCAAGACATCGGACCCGGGGATCGCACGCTGCAAGGGGCCCAGGTCATCTGTGGCCCTTCTGTACCCTTGGCTCCCCCTACATGTAGGTCATTCCCATGTGTGGTGACTGGAGGGAGCGCAATCTTATCCTCCAGGCGCTCTGTGATCTGTGGACATTGTAATGGATTCTCCAAGATAACCCCCTTACCCATCCCATTACCCATATCCCGGCCCCCCGCCCCCGGTCGCTATCTGCAGAGGAGGCTGGAAATGCATTAGCCGGAGCCGAGCCGAGAAGTGGCCGCAATGTGTCTCCTTCATCTGCTTTCTATTGGACGTCTCCCGGCACCCCGGATTCCGACAGTCGCCCATTTATCCTTTTATACATAAAATCTGGCCTCCTTTTTTCGGGGTCCCCTTTTTCTTTAGTGACGTCATATGGTTTCAGCTGCTCTAGACAAGACCGATGCGGGGTCCAGACAGCAGATCGCCGTGAATGTGGTCAGCACTGATTTTGGAAGTGGCCCCTGTGGCTTTGAAACGGCCCCATCCCCTGCTGAGGCTGATTAATGGGCTGTTTAACGAAGAAGTGCCTCATCTAATGTCCGGAGCAGAGCTAGGCAACCCCCGACCCTCCAGCTGTGGTGCAACTACAAATCCCAGCATGCATCTACCTCTGGGAGCCATGCCTGTGGCTGTCAGTCTTGCAATGCCTCATGGGACATGTAGTGCCACCACAGCTGGAGGTCTGGAGTTTACCTACTCTTGATCTAGACCAGGGGTAGCCAAACTCTGGCCCTCCAGCTGTGATGAAACTACAAATCCCATGATGCATCTCTCTCTCTCTGGGAGTCATGCCTGTGGCTGTCAGTCTTGCAATGATGCTCCTAGGATGAGGCTGAGAAATGATATCGGAACTGGACGGGGAGCCAAAGTGCTTCAGATTTATAGCTGGTCCAGGACTCGTGAAGCCCCCCTTCTGTGGGGGAACAAGTTCTCCCTAAGGGCCCATTTATATCTGTACTGCGGTGATGTTGCATGCATTGCATTTCAGACATTGAGGAAGCTGGTTGGATGATCAGCGAAACGTCTTCAAGAAAAATACAGCAAGTCCAGTGATTGGCCGCCTTGATTTATTTTCTACAGATAAACATTGCCATTCATGTTAAATGGCACCCCGATGCACATGCATTGCACCGCAAGGGAACATAGAGGGGATTTATCAAATCTGGAGCAGCTGTCCATGGCAACCAATCGGCTTCTCTCTTCAGTTTGTTCAGTTAAGATTTGAAAATGAAAGACCGATGCTGATTGGTTGTCATGCACAGCTGCTCCAGTTTTGATAAATCCCCCCCTCAGTGTTAGATTTTCGGGAAGTTTTGCTGCATTGCCAACGTGCCACCTGAACCCAACACACACTAATGTGCAGTGAATATGTAAATGGTCCCCCAAACTGATCAATATTACTAAACTGGTTGACCACTGGATTCTACATTCATGTATCTGTCTTTGCTGCTTTCAGTTGCAAAATGTATTGCTTGATGTGCCATGTGGGCCCAGTTATATTTTTACGTTGTGGTAATGCGCTACAACGCATGTTACGTGCATTGTCTTTCATATAAGATGGCACTCAGTTCACATGCGTTGCATGTGCCGCACTGAATTCTATATTTCTATATTTGAATTCTATATTTCTTTCTGTAGTATTTGTCGGTTTAAATTCCATCGTGTATTACTTTGTATCTGCCATGCTTCCCCGTTTATATTGTGGTGTTGGGATAACGCACTGCAATGCATGTTACTTGCGCTGCCATTCATTTTAAATTTCACCCAAATGTGCAATATGTATTGCTTTGTTTTTATGTTGCATGTTTACAATGCAGGTATAGTGCAGTTCTGAGTGCTAAGACCTATGGCAGCCAATCAGAAATCATCATTTTATTGGGATGCCTTCTCTTTAGTGGGACAGGTTCCCTTTACTGGGATAAGTTTTCTTGACTGGGACCCTTTTCCCTTTACTGGGATAGGTTCCCTTTACTGGGAGCCTTTTCCCTTTACTGGGAGACTTTTCCCTTTACTGGGACAGGTTCTCTTTACTGGGATGCCTTGCCTTTACTGGGACGCTTTCCCTTTACTGGGATGCCTTCCCTTTACTCGGACAGGTTCCCTTTACTGGGATGCCTTCCCTTTACTCGGACAGGTTCCCTTTACTGGGATGCCTTCCCTTTACTCGGACAGGTTCCCTTTACTGGGAGGCCTTCCCTTTAGCGGGACAGGTTCCCTTTTACTGGGATAGGTTCTCTTTACTGGGATGCCTTCCTGTTACTGAGACCCGGTTCCCTTTTAGGCCCCATTCACATCAAATCTATTGCATTGCTTTATGATCCGTTTTACCGGGCCGCCTTCCCTTGATCCTAACCTCATCGTTCTTGCTCTTTGTACTCATTTACAGAATAAGTCCAGTGGAGTTCTGAGCTTCTTCTTCTATGTCTTGCAGGTTTCTACTTCCCGCAAGGATTCCATTGCTGAGCCGGCCAGAAAAAAAAGTATGCGACCAGAGGATGCCTAAGGCTGGAGGGGGTTGCAGGTCATCCCTTTGCCAAGGGACCCCAGTGGGAATGATCGCCGTGTGGTGCGCGCTCTGCTTGTTCCTGGTGACGGTGAGCGGGGTGCCAGCGGCCAGGCTTCCCATCGCAGAGCCGGAGGAGGACAGAGCGGAGAGAAAACCAGCAGGTAAGGACGCGGATCCACCCTCTGTCCGTTTACCCACGGATTCGCAAACATGCACATGTTTGCTGGCCCAGGGATGACAAAACCGTCTCTTTACTTTCAACTTCTGAATGGCAGAGCAGGGAGGGAGCGGAGAGTTTCTCATGCCGACTGCCTGTGGATTAAACCTTGAGCTCTTCATGAGAAATGCAAATTTCCATGCTGTCCCCTGCTTGCACTAAGGAGGGCTCTGAGAAGGGGGGGGGTTATTGTTTGAGGACGCTAATTAATCATCGTGCTCGTTGACTTGCAGATTAACTCCTTTGGTGCTACAAAGAGAGATCTGCATGACACTGGAGCTTGTTTATTTGTTGACGGTGCCTAATGTGTGTACAGTACCATACAATGCGGCACGGTATGGGCACCCGGGACTAAACAGTGCCACTCTGGTCTGATAATGACGCAGATCCCTATTGTTAACAAGCGCTAATCTGTGTGTGGAGTTTACATAAGGAGCAGTTCGAAATGGCTTAATGAGTGCACATTAGCACTGTAGACCAGATCAGCGTTTGTGGCGATGGCCTATAATGTCTCCATTAGAGTGATTTTATTACATGGGAGAGTGCAGGACTGCGTGACCATAACCTTACCTGAGGGCCCCTTTACATTTGTGTGGTGTGTTAATGTACGTGCGTAGTCCCACGTGTTACTGTGCATTGCATGAGGGCAGCGCATTGAGATCAATGGGCTTCCAACGAACCAAGACACCCCAAAAAAAAAAAAATCTAATTTTTTTGCTGCCATGCACTGTGGTGTCGTCATGCGTTACAAAGCGCACATTGGGATGCTATTTAAAATGTTGTTCATTAGCACGATACTATTGAAATAGCACCCCAGCGCACACATTGTAACGCATGGTGACACACCACAGTGCACAGTGACGTTACACCGCACTAGGGCAATGCATGCAATGTGTGTCACCGCACGTGTTCCCACAATACATGGATGTAAATGGGCTCTTGCACACTAGGGATCTGTTTTCTTTTCTCCATTTTTAGCATGTGTCAGGCTTGCACTCCCAGTGTCTGTGATAAACATGGGCTGGATCTTTCATGTCCTCTGATCTGATGAAAATCTGTCAGTGTGTGGTCGCCTGTAATCATCATATGGCACACATCTGTTATCAGGTAAACTTCTAACTGAGTGTGTTGGCTAACTAACTTTAGTATGTAACTACAATGACTGTGTTATAAAGTGAGGTGTGATGGGAAACGTTCAGTCGTTTCCTCACAGTGGGCCCAGAGCGTAGCCCGGTGGCGGTTTGCAGCCTACGTTTTCATTCTGCAGCACGTTGTGGTGGTTTGTGCCAAGGTTGTGAAGCGCTTGGCTGGTTTTCAGAAGGCTGAGCTCTGGAAGTGTCCAGGTAGATGTCATGATTGTGACCGATAAGATACGTTGTATCCTGCCATGTGACACATACTCCTCTGTGGCGTGCACGGTGAAATCTTCATTACTTTGTTATATGAGCGGCATCTCCGTGTTTATTGTCCTGCATGTTGTGTATTTTGCTGAGTAAACTGTGTAGAATTTCCTTGTGGACGTGTACAGGAATTGCAGATGGCTGATCGCTGTGACGAGTTTTGATGTTGTTTGTCTGTTGGATATTGCCGATTATTCCAGGTTCCGGGATTCAAGGCTACTTCTCACCATATGCAGTTGTGATGCGGTCCGTTCACTTTGGCTGCTGCAGCCAATATACATCGTAATGCTTTCCGATGGGATTTCTGGTGCTCTATTCACACCAGTGCAGCCCGATGCAGTCAGAACAAAATACTGCTTGCCCTATTTTAGCTGCAACAGATTGCACCGGAACGCATGCAAGCGCACTAGAACGCACCTGAAATCCCATTTTAAGCACACACAAAAAGCATCAATCGCAGCAAAATGCATTGCAGCTGCGCAGACACACGCAGTTCTGACGTGAACTAGCCCTCAATGTTTCATTTCCTAGCATGGGCTAAAAAATGGTCAAAATTGATTGGTTACTACGGGCAGTAGCCCTACAGTTACCCCATTACTATAATGTTTTTCAAGACACACCCTTTAACTCTCTATAGTCACCCCATTTTTATATGTTCACCCAAGGCATGTCCTAGCGCTCTATAGTTACCCCAATTTTGGAAAATTAACAAAGCGCACTCTAAAGTTACCCCAAATCTGCCCAAGGCACGTTTTTCAGCACTGTACAGTTGGATATTAATGTGGTTCATGAGATCTGACACTGATATATCGACCCTTTGACAGTAGGGTTGTACAATGACTTGGGATAACACAGGTGCTATATCTGTATTGTAATCTATTACATGGCTTGGATTGATGGCGACCTATTGGTAACAATGGCATGAGGTAGTGAACATGCAGTAACCTGTGACAACCGCTGTTCATTGTGCCGACTACTGTAATGTGAAATCATATTCTACACAGATTATCATTTATGAAGAAACTTATTCAAGGAATTGTAAAGTCCCAGCATATACCATGCTTTATAACATCAGCATTGTAATAGGAATACATACTGGACTTGTTTCTGATAATACAATCAAAGCTTGATGAAATCCCTTTTATGTAGTGAGTGCCGCCTTCCGTCTGCCCATCACTTTCATCAGCTTCCTGGATTCCCAGTGTGCTTTGTGTCTCTTGCCCTGCTGCTTGATGTGATGCAATCTCCATTTCTCCAGACTGCATATCCCATCATGCATTGCTTCCAGCAAGCAATGATAACGTTGCGTTGCTCAGATGTTACATTGTAGTTCAGTAAGACAGCAGGTTCTGTGAGAGTGGTGACGCAAGGAAGTGCGTATTCTCAAGGCTGAGTGACATTGTGTCAGTGCATTGAGGAAGTACATCCTATGGGCATCTTCAAAAAATAAGTTTACAAAGTTCTAGATGGATCTGGTTATGAGGAGTGGGATAGAACTTATGGAAATTCACTATAGAAACACAGATTTATTATTCGTTTTTGACCATATATACCCTTTTAAAGGAGAACTATGGGGTCAGTGTTTTTCCCCATAGTTCTCCTTAGGCTAACGGGAGGACACAAACTATCGTCCTTCCATTACCCTAAACTCAGTATACCGCGAGCTACAGCTTGCGGTATACTGAGACGCCGAAGCGGATCCTGACTTAGATGACGGGATCCGCCCAGCTGCGTGAGTGACAGCTGGCTCTGCCTATCTAGAGGCAGAGCCAGCTGTACCCGCCCCCTCCCCCATCCGTTCCGCCAGTCAGCGCTGGCAGATCGGAGCGGGGAGAGGGGAATCCAGCCCTCCCCTGTCACGGCAGAGAGCCATGACAGGATCGAGAGGTGAGCGAACCCGGTATGTGTTCGCTCACCTCCCGATCTACTGAGCCGACCTATGACAGTCTCATTGTCACAGGTCGGCTAGAACTATGAGGTGAGTGAAAAGCACTCCTCATAGTTCTCCTTTAAACCTCGGTAGCCTCCAGTCTGCCCGCTGAGGAATATTGCAGACTGATAGTGAATTGGATCCCCCCTATTTTTAATGCATTATGATAAGTGACAGGCGGCCTTGTTTTATCGTGTTTCTTATGTCTGCTGCTATCGAGGTGAAACGAGTGCAATTACTGTCATGGCAGCTCGGTGGGAAAGCACTTAACACATAATGGTCCCCCCTCTCCTGTTCTTCTATATTACTAATGTAATCTCATGCACACTGTAGGAGGCCTCTCTTCCTGTCAGAGCTGCTGGAGCACTACAAGTTCCAGCACCGCCGGGTGATGGGGTTTATATCAGAAATATGGCCACACTTGTTACAATGTCATCACACAATGCAATCTTCTTCAGTTGTGATTGTCAGATACTTTCATGAAGCGTTGCCACACCCCACCGTAAAAAACACTGGCCGGTTCAGTAGCGATTGTCAGTGAATTGACCATAAACACACAATGGGCCAGATTGGCGGTCGTTGACGAATGTAAATTGTCGCTTGTGACGTCTTTTATCGGCGCGCCGGATGTCATAGAAATAAAGTTTATTTGGCACATAGTAGAATGTGTAACTGTCTTCCGCCACCTTGGCGTACTACGGCACACCTCTTGCGCCAAACTCCTTTTGCGAACCGTTGTTTATTTGGCACAGATTGTGAGACTTTTTGAGCGAAAACCCAGCCACGGAGTTTACGGACCGCTGAGTGCTAAGTGACCGAGCCTTTAGGTCTCGTTCACACCTAGGCGTATTGCATATGCGCGTCTGTCGCGGTTCGCGGTAAAAAAAGTTGCACGACCGTCGCGCGTTTCCGAAGGCTACTTGGCTGTATCCCAATGGAAACGCGCAACAAAACGGCCCAAAGTAGTACATGTACCTTTTCAGGCGTGGGCCGTTTTGTAGCGCGTTAGGGACGGGCGGAAATACGCCAAGGTGGGAACGAGACCATTGAATACAATGGGATTTATATTTTTGAGCGTTTTGTTGAGCGTTCGTCGAGCGTAGAACGCGCTACAAAACGTTCAGGTGTGAACGAGGGCTTAGTTCAGGGCTGTGCAAATCTCAGGAGCCAGGTCACCAAACACCTTAAAAATGACAGCTGGTGCCTAACTTTTGAGGGTTTCTCTAAATCAGGGGTAGCCAGACTCCAGCCCTCCAGCTATGCTGAGGCTACAAATACCATCATGGATCTGCCTCTGGAAGTCATGCCTGTGGCTGTCAGTCTTGCAATGCCTCGTGGGACTTGTAGTTCCACAGCAACTGGACTGCCAAGGTTTGCCTGTTCCTGCTAGCTTATACCCGATTCCATTGCTGCACCATTAGAAAATGCTGCGCAAATGCACGGCTTCTGCTCCATCCGCACACAGACCAATCAAGTGCTGTCACCCAGCCAGACCTCTTTTTACAGGGATCCAATCGGCAAAGCCGGATAGCATTTTAAGGATTGGAATGGTTGAAAAGTAGTTTTTCACCGACATATCGGTACTCATCGGCTTAGTACAGTATAGTAAATGTC